GAAGAAGAGTGTGATTGAGAAGAAAAGCACAGATACGAAGTACTAGATAATCTGCATATTTATTCACAAAAACAGACACAAAAGAGTTGTTACAAACTGAAATTCATATTTTATGAGTTTCAGACGAGGAAGAAATCGCTGTGAAGGTTCTACTCCTCGGAATCTTTGCCCTATTGTTATAAAGACAAAACAAAATAGTGGTGGTTAATTACAGTAAAGATAAAGACATACAGTAGGTTTAAATTCTGTTTCAATAAAAATGCAGCCAAAGAATCATGCATCAAATTTAATTGAGTCTGTGCTACAAAGCTGATAATTGAAAGCAATCTGAAAATATTAAGATTCAGTATACAGTACCTTAGAGCCCATATCACGGCTCTTGGCTCTCAGCTTGTTGACCTGAGATTCAGCGATGTCAGCACGCTCCTCAGATTCTTCCAGTTCATGCTGCACCTTCCTGAACTTGGCAAGGTGAGAATTAGCCTGTTCCTCCTGTAAGAAAAAGCAAATTGGCAAATTGACATCTGATATTATTCCAGTGCTTTTTGGGAACCAGATCCGAAATGTTTTGTTCCACTCCCCTCACCGTCAGTACTACCACCTTATGAAACTAGTAATCTTTAGATGGAAGTACCATGCACTAAGGTACTGTATTTCTTAGGGGCACTAAGGGGATTGTTATATTTGCAATCCCCATCTAGGCACCATAATTCTGAGCAGTAAAAGGCCTCAGTTGAATAATGTCAAGACAGGACAGGATCCAATGAGGGATTTTGGACATGGCAACTTAGCAAAAACAGCCAACTAGATCCGTTTTTACTGGTTTGAAAGGCCAAGATTGTAGTTATTGTTCGGCAAAAATATTGCTAACAGGGACTATGTTATTCTTTAGAATTCTGGACAAAGAAAAGAAATCTGTTTGAGTAAACCAAACTAAGTCTAAGTGCTACTGTAAGTGAAAGCAAGTGCAACATGTTATAATTTTAATATACTAATATTTAACTTATCGCAACCCCAATTGTACTTAGTGGTAAATGCTATGACTTTTTCAAAATTAATGATTAACTTACAGCTTCCTCAGCCTGCCTCTTGTAAGCCTTCACTTTCAGTTGAAGTTTGTCCACCAGATCCTGGAGTCTGTTCACATTCTTCTTGTCCTCCTCAGCCTAGCAAGGGTGATAAATAATAATATAAATCATACGTTAATATATAGTATTTCTTAAAATTAATGACCTGGTAGCTTAAATTATATGAATTAATATAATTACAAACAGTACCTGGTAAGTGAGCTCCTTTACTCGTCTCTCATATTTGCGGACACCTTTAATGGCTTCGACTCCACGTCTTTGTTCTGCCTCCAGCTCATTCTCCAGATCGCGGACCTAGAAAATATTGGAAGTTATACAATAATTCTTATTATTCAGTTTTCAGTTGTTTGACTGGGGTTGCTATGTTTGTGCACTTACCCTGGTTTCCAACTTCTGGAGCTGTTTCTTCCCACCCTTCATTGCTAGCTGCTCAGCCTCATCCAGACGGTGCTGCAGGTCCTTCACTGTGACCTCCAGGTTCTTCTTCATTCTCTCCAGGTGAGCGCTGGTGTCCTGCTCCTTCTTCAGCTCCTCTGCCATCATAGCAGCCTGAAATGTACCAGAAGTGTACTTTTAAGTATGTAATCTCTCATGGTTATCCAGTTTTGTAAGCAAGAAAAAAATATTAAAATTCAGCTGGAAATAGCAATACTTTGTATAACTCACATCAGTGATAGCTTTCTTGGCCTTTTCTTCTGCATTTCTTGCTTCCTGGATGGTATCATCAACTTCACCCTGGAGCTGAGCAATGTCACTCTCAAGCTTCTTCTTGGTGTTGATCAAGCTGGTATTCTGAGACAATGAGATTATTTCTAGTAAGCGTCAATATAGTCCAAATACCACCTTCACTGTCAGTTAAAATATTATTATTAATAAGAGCTTTATTTAAATAATTAAAAATAATTGTTTTAAAAATAGTCATTAATATGAAATTTAAGATTAATGTTTGATAAAGAACTTTCAATTTTGTCACCTGGGAGTGCAGGAGTTGGACACGCTCACTGGCATCAAGCAGTTCCTGCTCAGCCACTTTGCGGCCTCTCTCAGTCTGTTCCAGGGCAACCCTCAGTTCCTCAATCTCAGCCTGCATCAGGTTGTTCCTGCGCTCCACCATGGCAACCTGTTCCTTCATGTCTTCCTGTCCTCTAAGGGCATCATCCAGGTGCAGCTGGGCATCCTGATAAAAGCAAAACGCCATCATAACCATCAAATGATCCTTAGAAATAAAAGAGCATGAATGTTTATGGTTTAGGGTAAAATCTTCAGTACCTTGAGTTGTCCTTGGACATTCCTTAGTTGTTTCTGGGCTTCAGCAGCCTGGCGATTGGAATGGCTCAGCTGAATTTCCATCTCGTTGAGATCTCCTTCCATTTTTTTCTTAATTCTGAGGGCATCATTTCTGCTCCTAATCTCTGCATCAAGAGAACTCTGCATGGTGTCCACAATCCTCTGGTTGTTTCTCTTCATTTGCTCAATTTCCTCATCCTTCTCAGCAATCTTTCTGTCCACTTCAGACTTGATTTGGTTCAATTCCAGTTGGACACGAAGGATCTTTGACTCCTCATGCTCCAGTGATGCCTGTTATTTAAAGAATTAACATTTTTTTAATTTGTATGTAGACTTCTTGGAAGTCAATTCTGTTTTAAAACACAAATAGTCTATGTCTCTAAACACAAAGAATTGAGAAGTTTCTGGTTACAAGCCTGTTCAGTAAAACATGTGTATACTTGATCTGCTTCATTATGGGTAATTAATGTTAAACAGTTTTTATGAAGAAGTTTTTTTCAAAATATAATTTATGAAAATACATGCATTTTTGTGGACACAATCCAAACCCCTGTAAATAATAATTGTAGACTGTAAAGTAATTCTGGCTTTATGCTCAAAATTGTTTTGTTTTTCATCTTTTCATAAATTGACATAAATTGACAAAAGTTTCTCATTTTTAGCCATAATAATCTATTACCTTGATTTGTTTTTTTTTTGTGACATTGGGAAAGTCCTTTTTATTGAAAGAATGGAAGACATGTTTTAAGGTATTTATGTGCACATTTTAAAACTTCAATATAAAAACATTGACGTCTGAAACACCTGTAGATGTCATTTATACTTAAATCTATTAAATCCATTAGATGTATTACCTCAGCTTCTTCCAGTGCAGTTTGAATTTCAGTCTTTTCTGTTTCCACCTGTTTCTTTGCTTTTTCCAGTTCATGAATGGTCTTTCCAGTCTCACCAATCTGTTCAGTGAGGTCTGAGATCTCCTCTGTAATAAAGGCAAATGGAAAGCACTATAACACAAATGTCGACACTGAATTGTAAAAAAAAGAATGGTCAGAAATAGTTGTAAAAAGTAACAGAAAACAGATTAAATACAGGTGGTCACTTACCTGAAAGACACAAAATATAAAATATACATTGAAATTCACATTTACAATACACTCATTGTTTCATTTCTTAAAAATAATATATACTGAACGGTTATGTTTAAATATGTTTAATACCAATAGGTTTTTCCATTTTTGTACTTACGCTGCAAGTTCTTGTTCTCCCGTTTAAGGGTCTCAAGATGATCCAGAGCCTCTTCATAGGAGTTCTTCATCTTGAAGAGCTCAGTGCT